GAGGCTAAGAAGGACAGCAAGTTCAAGGCCATCCTTGGAAAATTAGTGAGACCTTGTCTCAAAATTAAAAAGTAAAAAAGGGCTGAGATGTGGCTCAGTGGTAAAGTGCCCCTGAGTTCGCAGTTACAGTATTTAAATAAAGAAGCACTCTGCATTGGGCAAGTATTAATTAACTGCCTGCTGTGTACAGGGCACTAATTCAGGCAGGACCTAGGAAAAGTGAAGCAAGAAATAAATAGCCCAATAAATAAATGGGCCAAGGACCTGAACAGACATTTCTCAGAAGATATACAATCAATCAATACATGAAAAAATGTTCATCATCTCTAGCAATTAGAGAAATGCAAATCAAAACTACTCTAAGATTTCATCTCACTCCAATCCGAATGGTAGCTATTGAGAATACAACAATAAGTGTTGGCAAGGATATGGGGAAAAGGCACACTCATGGCTGGCTGGTGGGACTGCAAATTGGTGTAGCTAATATAAAAAGCAGGATGGAGAATCCTTGGAAAACCAGGGATGGAACCACCATTTGAACCAGCTATCCCTCTCCTTGGTCTATACCAATGGACTTAAAAACAGCATACTACAGGCACACAGCTACATCAATATTTATAGCAGCACAATTCACAATAGCTAAACTGTGGAACCAACCTAGATGCCCTTCAGTAGATGAATGGGTAAAAAAAAAAATGTGGTATATATACACAATGGAATATTACTCAGCAATAAAAGACAATAAAATGGCATCTGCAGCTAAATGGATGGAGCTGGAGAAGATAATGCTAAGTGAAGTTAGCCAATCCCTAAAAACCAAATGCCGAATGTTTTCTCTGATATAAGGAGGCTGACTCATAGGGGGGTAGGGAGGGGGAGCATGGAAGGAATAGATAAATTCTAGAGAGGGCAAAGGGGTAGGAGGGGAAGAGAGGGGGCATGGGGTTAGAAATGATGGTGGAATGAGATGGACATAATTATCTAAAGTACATGTATGAAGACACGAATGGTGTAAATATACTTTGTATACAAACAGAGATATGAAAAAATCCTTTATATGTGTAATATGAATTATAATGCATTCTGCTGTCACATATAACAAATTAGAATAAAATTTTTTTAGAGAGAGAGAGAAAGAGAATTTTAATATTTATTTTTTAGTTTTCGGCGGACATCACATCTTTTGTTGGTATGTGGTGCTGAGGATTGAACCCCGGGCCACACGCATGCCAGGTGAGCTTGCTACAGCTTGAGCCACATCCCCAGCCCCATAAAAAAAAAAAAAAATTTTTTTTTTTAAAGTGAAGCAGTAGGTACAAGATCACTGTAGAGGGGAGCGAGAAAAAAAAACAAAAACAAATAATTATAACCATGTAGTTGATACCCTAGCTTTTCATCTTAAGGAAAATGGAAACACCATGTAGTGAGAGTTGGCACATTAGAAAATGTCTTCCTGGGAAGGTTTTTGTTTTGTTTTGTTTTATGGTTCGTGGAATGGAACTCAGGGCCTCATGCATGCTAAGCAAGTGCTCTACCACTGAATTTCATCCTCAGCCCATTTTATTTTTTAATTTTGAGACAGGGCCTCACTAAGTTGCTGAGGTTGGCCTCAAACTTGCAATCCTGGCTGATTTTCAGGAAACTTTTACAATTGCAGGAGGGATTCAGAAGTAATGTTACATATCAGTGACTTTCAGTTATGACCAAAGACAAGGTCATGAAACGAAAGCTTAAGTCAGAAGGTTCTCCCAAGAGTTCACTGACCCAACTTCTCGGCAGGGGAGGAAATGGGAGTGTTTGACCCAAAGCCCATAATCTCCCTCCACACTCCACTGTTCCTCCCACCAGAAACAAAAGAGTGAAGAGGGTCAAGAAGTGACATGGGGGCTGGAGATATGGCTCAAGCGGTAGCGTGCTCCCCTGGCATTCGTGCGGCCCAGGTTGGATCCTCAGCACCACATACAAACAAAGATGTTGTGTCCGCCGAGAACTAAAAAATAAATATTAAAAAAAAAACTCTCTCTTTAAAAAAAAAAAGTGACATGGATTACACATCCAATAGGGATATCAAAGACGTCTCTATGGAAGAGATGGCATCTTTTTTTTTTTTTTTAAAGAGAGAGATTTTTTAATATTTATTTTTTAGTTACCGGCGGACACAACATCTTTGTATGTGGTGCTGAGGATAGAACACGGGCCGCACGCATGCCCGGCGAGCGCGCTACCAGTTGAGCCACATCCCCAGCCCGAGATGCTATCTTAAATGGTCTTTGGTGCTGGGCATGGTGGCACATTCCTGTAATCCCAGCAGCTGGGGGGTGGGGTTGCTGAAGCAGGAGAATTGTGAGTTCAAAGTCAGCCTCAGCAACTTAGCAAGACCTTGTCTCTAAATAAAATACAAAAAAGGGCTGGGGATGTGGCTCAGTGGTTAAGGGCCCCTGAGTTCAATTCCTGATACAAAAAAAAAAAAAAAGAAAGAAAAGAAAAGAATAGAGGGAGGGAGAGGAAGACAGCTAGGGAAGGAAGAACCTTCCAGTGTAGTAAAAGGGGATAAAGTTGCACAAGAAGTCAAATCACACAGGACCCCAAATGACAAGCTAATACCCCAAAGCTAGGGTATCGACTACATGGTTATAATTATTTGTCATTTTTTTCCTTGCTCCCCTCTACAATGATCTTGTACCTCTTGTTTCACTTTTTTTTAAATTTTTATTCTAATTTGTTATATATGACAGCAGAATGCATTCCTTAATCAGGAAACCCATTAAGAAGAAACCATATATGAGGGAATCAGAGAAAAATCAAATGCCCATTTACTAGTTAGTGGCTACTGTAATAATCCAGGTTAGAGTTGTGGACTCTGAGCCATGTTGGAATGGAGGTGATAGGTGCCAGAGATCCTGGGGAGTTGAGAAGCAGGGGATGGGGTGGAAATGGGTACCAGGGCTCCAATGGGAGGACCCCACTGGGAATTGAAGGTGCTGAGTTTTGGGGAGGTCACGGGGAGAAAATGGGACTAATGGGAATAGGGACTTGACCAGGGGGATTAGGGAGAGAATGAGTTGCCAGTTTAAGCGCCAAAGCTCAGGCTGGAGGGAGGAGAGAAAGGAACAGTTGTCTGGAGTCACTATGCAGGTGCAATCTGAAGACTAGAGAGGAAGAAAAGGGAATCCTGTGGGGAGATGGACAGGGGGCCACCTGGACATCTCAGAGTCCCCTCATTTTAAAACTTCCTGAGGACGGAAGGAAGGAAACAGATAAAGAACCTTGGGAGACCGAGGAGAAGGGGAGCCTTTTGAGCAACTAGCAGTGTCACAGGTAATGAAGAATTTCGGGAAGGGAAGTGACCACTGGATTTGTGGGTGAGGCTGTCAGGGTGACTAAGGCAAAAAGCAGTTTTAGGGGGCAGAAGTCAGGCCTCTTGATCGCATGGGGGCAGTGAGGCTGCCAGGAGGAGGGAGGAGGCTGAAGGAGGGCAGTTGGGGTCAGCAAGTGAGTGTCACTCTGTGCTGCTGCCAACAGCCTGAGGAGGAGGGGCAGGAACCTGGAGGCCCACCGAGAGGACTTAAAGGAAAGGAGATGAGTCAGGAATAGAACTTAGAAACCCAAACAGAAATAAGACCAGTGACTTCCAAGTCCCCAAATGCCAGAAACGGGGGAGAGGCAGCTGGGGCTCTGGGCACCTACTGTCTGGGAAACTCTTTGGAGCCACAGCCGGCTTCCCCCACCCCTCCTGGAGGCTTGGGTATACTGGTGGGGGAGGGGAGTCCCAGGATCCTCGCTTGGGGAAAGCAAGGAGTCAGACATTCCCCTTTTCCCAGCTACTCCTGTAAGGGACTGTGGCCCCAGCTCAAGAAGAAGCCATGACCCACACCAAAACCCAGTACTCACTCTATTATGCCTCCTTCCCCCCAGGTCTAGGCAATGTTCTTTTTTCTGGAACTTAGTTTCTGTAGTGGGTTGAATGATGGAATCCAAAAAGGTATGTCCATGTCTTAACCCCGAGCCCTCCAGAACCTGTGAATACCGCCTCACTTAGAAAGGGGGTCTTGAAAATGTAATTAAGGATGTCTGGACGAGATCAACCCGGATTACTGGGTGGACTGTGAAGCCATTGGCAAGTGGCCTTATAAGAGACAGAGAGGAGGGGTGATGTGCAGCTGAGGGATGATGTGCAGTAGAGGAATGCCTGGGGTCACTAGAAGCTGAAGAGGCAAGGAAGGTACTTCCCCCTAGAGCCTTCTGGGGAGCCTAGCCCCGCAAATACCATAGTTTTGGGCTTCTGGCATCCACAAATGTAGGAGGGTACACTTCTGTGCTTTAAACCATCAAGTCTGTGGAAACTTGTTATGGCAACCTGAGGAAACTAATTCAGTTCCCCATTCTGTGCAGTCACTAGGAGTCCTGAGAGTCTCCAAACTGAACTTCATTCAGCAAGAAGGGGAATTCTAGATTCGACCCAAAGATATGTTTTTTAACTCACCACTGCCTCCTTCCAGGACAAGGATAAATCCTTTCATGGGGGTGGGGGCAGCCAAACTTGTCACCTCCTGCCCCTCAGACAGGATATAAGAAGGGAATCTCCTGTCCAGCATCCCTTTCTCCTTTGCCCAAAGCTAAGCCACTCCATCCCCAGTTATAGGCAGGTCCAAAAGGCCAAAGCTGACCCAGACCATATCACTAAAAGCAAAGAGCTTTTTAAAATCAGGAAGCCTGCCTTTACCAATTCCTCCCACAAACATCATCCCTTCAGACCCAGTGCCTCCCTTCCTCCTCTCCTCTCCTCTATTCTTGGGGGTCAAGATGGATACCTCTGAAACACCGAGGAATGGAAGGCACTCTCCCACCCTCCTTCCTCCTTCCAATGACACAGCTGGAGGGGGGAGGGGAGGTCAGCAGGGTTCATAAAGGCCAGATGTTAAAAGAGCAGTGCCCACCACACGCCCACCCACCCCACCCCCACCCTGACCCCCAGGGAAAGAAAAATGAAAGGAGACAGCTTTGAAAACACACACAATTTTGTGGTGCAAAACACTTTTTCTCAAGAATCTGCTCTATGCAAACAATAACAACTTTTTACAAAGCATTTTCACAGAAAAGGAGACAAGTCCTTCCCCAGTGTTGTATGTGGGAATTATTCCTCCTTCACCCTGGTTTTGGGGGAAGAGGGAGCGCTATTCACCAGCGCAATATGGGCAGAAGGGTCCCACAACTGCCCCTCACCTCAGCCAGGAATCACCCTGAGACCTGGCCTCCTCTGACCTCACCTGGAAAGGTGGACGAAAGTGTTCATTCCACCCCTCTACGACTCCAGGGAACCCTCTGGGCTGGGGCGTGGCCCAGGCCTATCTCTCCCCTCGCCTGGAAAACAGAACCTCTGACCTCAAACCTAATCCCCTGGCCCTGCCCCCTTCGGATCCATCAGATCCCTGACAACTCCCGAAATGCCTGTGGCTAGAGGAGGAAGAAAGTACCTCAGCCCAGGTCCCATCCAAACCCAAACTTTCCCCTTCGAACCCCAGGAGACCCTAGAGGTTAGGCCAAGAGCCCTTTCATTTAGCACTCTGTAAAATACTGCTTGTTTTGTCTCCACCCTTTAGGGGGCTGTTTGGGTGTTCAAAGAACGGAATCAGGCCAGCCCTCTACTTCAACCCCCCTCCCATCCATGAATTTGTGGAGTGGACCTCGAATGGCAACTTGTTTGGTCTGACTTTATTGATTTCTTCCACCTTCCATTGCTTTCCCTGGGACAGTCCCCAGCCCCTTCCCCAGGCAAACTCCTCAATGGGGCGCGGTCCCTCAGCACTGCCCCTCTTCCTATGAAGAGCAACTTGGGGAGAAGGCCAATTTACCAAGGTGGGGGGTGCTCTTTTACCATCAGAGCTTATGAACAAAAAGCAAAGAAAAACTGAAGAAACTCCAAAAGTGGACAAAAGGGAAAGGCTGGTGGCTGATATTGAAGATTTCATCAATTAAGGGGTCACTCCAACTTAGGGGGCCCTAGGAAGGAAACAGGAAGGAGGTGATTTGCCCCCCTTCCCCTATCACAGATCTGGTGGTGCTAAGAAGGCCGGTAGGGAGTGAAGGGTTAAAGGCCTGGGCGATGGGGGTGGGGATGCCCCCGGGGCGCTGCCAATCACCTTCCCACCCCTACCACAGCCCCCACACCCCCAGGCTAGCCCTCCAACGCAGAAACAACCGGTTTGTCCATCACCAAGGTCTCCCCCACCACCCCCCTTTTTTTTCCCAGTCCAGAGCCAGCCTCCTTCTCTCCCCCCTGGGGTGTGAAGGCCCTGCCCCAGAGAGCCGAGGTGGAGGAGGGATTGGAATCCGTGTCATTCAGCCTTAAGGGGTCAAGCCTTCTCCCGACTCCAGCCCTCGGTTCCTCTGCAAAGATGAGTTGGAGGGAACCTCACCCCGACCTCTTAGGTGCTTAAAGCTCACTGTCATTTGAGGTCTCTCTGCCCACAGCCCAAGAAACCTAAAGGAAGGGAACAGGCAAATGTGGGAAATGAGGCGGTCTCCTCAAGCCCGCAGTTTGGCAGTAGCCCCAATTTCCCAAACTTGGCAGAACAGATCCCACACTTAGAGTTCTTCCAGGTTGACCCCCCAGAATTTGAGGCTAGGGGGCTCAGGAACGGCGGGTCCCCCTATCTGCCACCTCCATAAGGGGTGGGCAGGCGGGGGCTTAGAGTCTCCTTGTAGGCGAAGCGAAGATGCAGGCCCTAAGTCTCCGTCCTCCCCCACCACCAGGGCCGGAGGGCAAGGAAAGGCGTCCAGAAGGCTGAAGGTGCTGTTGGTGGGGAGTGTCGGTGCAGGGCGGCGGGGCTGCGCGCTGCGCTGGGGCGGAGGTGGCCGCCGGCGTTTCTTGGCTGCTCCCCGGGCCGACCCTTTCGCTGGCGGCCGCTCGGGACCCCGGCGCAAACTCGGAGTGTCCAGGGCGAAGCCCTTTGCATAACACCAAAGTTTCGACCGGCGGATCAGACGATCGAAATGTTCCTGGCGGAGATCGCCCGGCGGGGCCGGAGCTGCGCTGGCCGTCGAGGGACTAACGGCTGATGCCTCGGGGGCCGCCAGCGGGGGGTTTCCATCCACTGCAGCCTCCTGGCCTTGCAGGGATGGCTCGGGAGCCGCCCCGGGACATGCGGGCTCGGTGGAGAGGCCCGCAGGTGGCGGCGGAGGCAGGGAGCCAGGATCCTGAGGCGGGCAGGCGGCTGGATCAGGCTGGGACTCGAGACCCTGGTCTGGCCCAGGCGGAGCCGAGGCGGAGCTGGTCGAAGATTCCCGAGGACGCCGGGGCTCCGGGCAGCGGCCCGGAGGTGCGTCGGAGCGAGCGCCGAAGTGCGGGAAGCTGCCTCCTCCCTCTTCTTCCTCTCCGCCGCCCGGGCACACCGCGACACCGGCATCCTCGCCCGCCGGGTATTTTGGATCACTGAACTGCCCGGCCTGTGCCCCGAGGTACTTCAGACCATCCGGGGCCCAGCTGCCGGTGCACAGGGAGGCTCGAGGGCCCCGCAGCACCGGGGCCCGTGGCGCCAGCTCCCCAGGCCCCAGGCCCAGAGAGGACGCCCGGGGTTTGGCAAGGGCGCAGAAGGCAAGGGCACGCAAGCACAGCGGAGAGAACTCCTGTGTCCCCCGACGCGGCTTCCGGGGTGTAGGGGAGCAGGGCGACCCTCGCGGGGACGCCGGCACTGCCAGGCGGGGAGGGGGACACAGAGTCTCCATGGAGCAGCCTGAGGGGGTGCCCACTGAGGGGGCCCTGGTCCCAGTGGCGGGATGCCCTGGCTGCCCGAAGAGCCCACGGGCGAGGGGAACATCGCCCCCCCTCGACGGGGAGGTCTGTGCTCACGGGCGCCCCGAGCCCGCTACCCCGGCCCGCGGCGCTCTGGCTCCCTCCTCGATCTCGTCACGCGGCCCTCCCGGCGGCCGGACGCCTGGGTCCCTGCGAGTCCCGGCGCGGTCAGCCGCCCCTCCTGCCGCAGCGTTCTCTGCGCAGCCCGGGCGAGAGCCCTCCCAAGTCGCCCGAAGCGCTGAGGCGGGGAAAACAAAGCGGCCGGCGGTCGCCGGAGGCGGGAAGGACCCCGGCCCGGCACCCGGTGCCCGGGCCCAGGCGGCGGGGAGGGCGCCTTCCGCCCGCTCGGCTTCTTTCTTCCCCGCTGGCTCCCGGAGACCGCGTTATAGAGAACTGCCCCCTCGCTGCCCCAATACCAGCGCCGGGGCCGCGAGCCCGCCGCTGATTGGGTAGCACTGTCCATGACGTTAGCCTCGACCCCACCCCTCCGGCGGCACCGCCCCCGTCCCCATTCCGCACACAGACACACACACGTGGACCCGGCGCGGCGGCGGCAGGGAGGGAAAGAGCGAGCGTGCGCGGGTGGGATCGCGAGGGGCCAGATGCGCTGCTGCACGTGGCCCAGTGGAGTCCTGGCATTTAGTCATCGCAAAGCAACTCGGTTTTTTCCCTTAGCAGTCATACTTTTCGCATCTGCAAAATGGGAACGTTCATATCTGCCTTCTTGGGACTGATGGAGAGCTATGTGAATCAACAGATATGAAACACATACAATGTTAAGGGAAGAGATAAATGAGGCGATGGTGGTTTATAAACTGAGCAGCAAGAATTCCTATAGACAGAGAATTTCCAGCCTCAAGGACAGTGCCTGGCACACAGTGGACTCAAAAAGTGTTCGTTGAGGCCAGACGTCGTAGTGCACGTCTGTAATCGCAGCTACTGGGGAGGCTGAGTGAGGCAAGAGGATCCCAAGTTCGAGGCCAATCTTGGTAAATTGGCGAGACTGTCTCAAAACATTAAAATAGCAGTGGGTGTAGCTCAGTGGTAAAGCAACACTGAGTTCAGTCACAATACTGGAAAAAATGTTTGTAGAATGAATTCAGTATGCACAAGCAAGATGCATAAAGGAAAAAATTAATTTGTGGGGTGTTATTACACTCGTGGAAGATGATAAATAGGTTTTCTCAGTACCTGTTTCCATTTCTCTAATGCAGTATCTTAAGTATATCCCACCTCTTAACAGAATTACAAAGGGCTTGCTCTGTAGCCACCCCTAAAGTCATACTCTGAGTCCTGAACTGCCAAAATGAATTGAAGAGGTGGCTGAAGGGACACACAGACCCTCACTCTCAGCTCCCTCAAAGAGTGTAAAACAAGGAAAAAGTGAATCCCCACTAAATACTTTGATCATTCAGCACACAAACCTCAGCACATTCCATCCTTTTACCCTTCTTTAGTGTCTGCACAGCTTACTATTATAGGAAAGTCTGTGAATGTGTTTGTTCCTTGGTGTGTCTCTCCCATTAGTCTGGAACTGAGCTGATGCCCTGGCTGCCCAGAAGAGCCCAACACTTTGTCTTGATCACTCTAAATCCCCACTGCCTAGATCTGTGCGCAGATGTAAGAGGAACTCAATGAATATTCGTGAATGAATAAATGAGTGAATGGAATCTCTCTCTCTTGATAAAAATCAGGTTGTTTGCATATGGCTGTTCCCATCTGCAGAAAAGAGAAATTGGTGTGTGATGGGTTGGAGGAAGAGGGTGGGAGGATGCTGGGGGAAGGGGGGACTTAAGGAGAAATATCTCATTCTGGAGCCAGGACAAGGAAGAGTTTCTGTCAAATGATGCAGAGTGCATCCTGGCCTTCCCAGCAGTGACCATGGGGGCATAGTTTTCCTACATGACATCAAATAACATCTGAGAAGAAAGGGATAAGATGGGTCTAATTCCCTCACTTCCCTTTGTCAGGATCTAGAGGTGAAAGGGAGGCCAGGGTGAGAGGGACCAGGCAGTGTGGTGTTTTATTGCTCAAAACAGTCATCCCCTAAGTCCTCTGCAGAAGACATCTCCAGGGCAGCTGTCATGAGGGAAATCCATGGGTCCTGCCAGGTTACTTGGCTAAATTTGATCTAGTCTCCAGGATTCCTAACTACCTCAAGAACCATGACCCAAACACACACACACACACACACACACACACACACACACACACACACACACACCACTACTTGAGGAAAGTTCTGGAAGGAAAGATGATGCTATTCACAGCTTGGGGGGGGGGCAGAGCAGAGACAGACAGCAGTGCTAGATTTCTTTTGCTTGTGGGGCAAAGGGCACCTGCTTTGATCCCGCTCTTCTCTATTCTCTGGCTGAGATGCCAGAAGAGGCTTGGGCCCATATAGGCCCCTGGACTCCAGAGTCCCCCTGTCCCCAGGAGTCTTTCATATTTGCATTCCCGCACCTGGCACAATGTTGACACAGGCAAGAACACCCAAGAAAATCTTCTGTATGAATAAATAGTGACTATTACATAACAGTGAAGATCTTCCTTCTCCCACTCCAAAAGCTGCCAGCTCCCCAAATCTGAAGTTAGCAGCTTTGGCTTTTAACAAGGGACCAGTGCTACTGAGAGTCCTTCCATAGAGGATGAATCCCCTCCGCTTTTACTTTCCCTTCGTCCCCTTCCCTTAACCAGGCACTCCAGCATAGGGTCCGAGATTACTGAGGCAGGAGTCAGAGTGAGTTTCTCTAGCTGCAATGGCCTGGGGTCATCAAGCCACCTTTTGCAGAAGCCTTGAACTGGGGACCAGCTGTGTACTACTGGGTAGATCACGTAGACACTCTGAATTGCAGCATCCCTCCCAGTGAAAGGGACAACTGCGGCTTCCTCACAATGTTTAGGAGGGCTGAAACACGAAGTGAGTGGTCACCATTACCCAGGCAGGCCAGCTCACCCGATGCAATTCCCACTGCCTACAGTAGAGGACACTCGACCCCGTTCTCAGCCTATGAGATGAGGAGGGCCACCACCTTCTCACACTCACCAAAAAAATGACATGTGTCCCCTATGAAACCTCCAGAGTAAGGGCAGAAAGGGACCCTGGGAACCTGGATGCCAGCCCTTCCCCTTCTTTGGTCCATCTAGGCAATAATGATGGTGTTCAAGGATTTGGAAGCAGAGGACTTGCCTAGCTGCACTTTTCCCATAGAAGGCACCTCAGGGAACTGCTGCAGACGTCAGTTCTATAATAATATTTGCCACACTTTCTGCATGCCAGTCTCTGTCCTAAAACCTCTGATATTTAACCTCCATACCAATCCTATAAGACGCTATTTTTTAAATGGACATACCATACTTAACCCATTGTCCAATTCAGCAATTTTAAGTAGATTTAGACTTATGCAACCATCTTAATAACTCACCTTTAGAACTTTTCTTATGAGATTCCTCATCCCCATTTGCAGTCAACTTGTGTTCCCAATCCCATCCCCTGAGACTAATCTACTTTCTGTCTGTATAGAGATCCCTTTTCTGCACATTTCATATAAATGAAATCATGCAATATGTAGTCTTTTGCACTTCTTTCACACAAGCTAACTTTTTGAGGTTTATTTGTGTTCTAATATGGATTAATAGTTTGTTTCTTTTTATTGCTCAATAATATCATATTGTATGGATATACCACATTTTGTTTATTCAGTCACATTTGAATTGTATTCACTTTTTGGTTATTATGAATAATGCTATTATGAGCATTTTTGGGGGTGGGTAGTGGGGATTGAATTCAGGGACACTTGACCACTGAGCCACATCCCCAGCCCTGTTTCGTATTTTTTTTTTTTTAAGTTATCGGCAGACACAACACCTTTGTTGGTATGTGGTGCTGAGGATTGAACCCAGGCCGCTCGCATACCAGACCGAGCACGCTACCTCTTGAGCCACATCCCCAGCCCTCTGTTTCGTATTTTATTTAGAGACAGGGTCTCACTGAGTTGCTTAGCACTTCCAGTTGCTGAGGCTGGCTTTGAACTTGTGATCCTCCTGTCTCAGCCTATTGAGCTGCTAGGATTACAGGTGTGCGCCACTGTGCCTGGCTGCTATTATGAATTTTGACATACCATTCTTTGTGTGGGGCTGGGAATGTAGCTCAGTGGTAAAGTAGTTGCCTAGCATTTCTGAAGTCCGGGGTTAAATCCCCAGTACCACAAAAATGCCCAAAAACACCAAGTCTTTGCAGGGACATAGGAGATATTTTTAAGTGCTCGTTTTTATTTTCAGCACTGGGGATTGAACCCAGGGGCATTTTACCACTGAGCTACATCTCCATCCCTTTTTATTTTTATTTTATTTTTTAAACTATTTTTAAAGATGTTGATGGACTTTTATTTTATTCATTTACTTATATGCTGTGCTGAGAATTTAACCCAGTGCCTTACTCATGCTAGGCAAGCACTTTACCACTGAGCCACAACTACAGCCCCCCTTTTTATTTTATTTTCTTTTTGGTACTGGGAATTGAACCCAGGGGTGCTTAACCACCCTAGCCCTTTTTAATATTTTATTTCGAGACAGGATTTCACTGAGTTGCTTAGAACCTCACTAAATTGCTGAGGCTATCTTTGAACTCACTATCCTCCTGCCTCAGCCTCCCAAACCATTGGGATTACAGGCATGCATCCCCCCACTCCTGGCTTATCTGGGTTCTAAATAAGGACACTAAGGGAGAGAAGTGACCTGCCTGAGTCATGCTGCTACCAAGTGGAAGAGCCAGTACTCAAACCAGGACAGTTAGGTGCTAGGTCCACGCTGGTAGCCACAAGTTAACCTGCAAGGAGGAATCTAAGAAAGAAGACATTTCTTGACCCCATCACACCCTGGCCACCACCTTGTTACCTCTTCTTGCTTCCAGAATTCCCTATCAGACTCTGCTCAGGCCCAGCAGGGCTGCTTTGCCCCCTAGC